CCAGAAGACTTCAGACTCAACTACAATGAAAACCTGAAATCCTACAAACCAAATGACTTAAAACTTCAACTAGAACAATGTTAAAAAAAAAGTGATGGCTAGAATTTGTATTTTTGGTAAATGAACTTCTCAGCCTCTCTCTTTAACCAACTTGCCTACAATTTTTCTTTCTATACTTCTACACCAGAACGGTCGTACGGTTTCAAAACCCATTAAATTTACATTTTATTGTTATTCTACAGATGTGTAAGCAAGACATGATTTGTGTTGCCTTCAACAATTTGAAGCGCGTTTGTAATTCTACGTAACAGAACAAAGTTCACAGAAAATTCTTAATCTGTTATTCATGTTAGAATTGAGATTCAAAATTGGTGATTCATGCACATACTCTACAAACCATGATCTGTCCCATGTCTCATAATTAACTCCTCAGGCAACTTCAAAAATGGTTTTGTAAATCATGCAAATGTTGCCCAAGATCCAATCCTGCACAGAAAAACTTGTCAAATATTATCAGCTCTGAAATAAATGCATTATGGACTTACCAAGTCCCATGTAGTGAAACAGCTGAATTGGTTTGATTTCCTCCAGATCACTGTCATCCACATCTGGTTTAGTCTTCAGAGTACACACTGGGGGTGTAGACTTGATGCTTTGTTTCTCAGGCAATGGCACATCAACAGCCGTCTCTGGTTTCAGACTTGGTTCAGGAACAACAGCAACTGGTTTGATGGGTTCAGGAGCACTTGATATCAATTTAGGGTAGGGCTCAGTGACTACAGGTGTGGGCTTCACTTCAGGTTCTCGTCCATCTTGAGAATGAAGATGATCATCTTGGGCACCGAGTGAAAACTTTGAAAAACCAGTTTCATCAGAAGGCTTTTCAGAATCTGATTGGTTCCATAATACATCAGGATCTTGAAAATCATGATATTTCTCAACATCATGAGATAAGGAAGAACTGAGGTCATCTGTAGGATAATTCTCAGATGGGATGTTACCAACATTCAATTCGTGAATATCAGTTGGTTTCACTTCAGATTTTAGAAAATCCAGATCAGCTGTTAGCTTGCTAGTAGTATCCTTATGGCTGCTTGGCCCTTCTGTTTTATCTTCACGCTCAAAGTCCACAAAGGCTTGGGATAGAGCTTTTTGATTGCTTAACTTACCAATATCAAATTCTGATTCAAATTTCGATCCAGGTTTTTCACCTTTTGAAATCAGTGAATCAATTTCTGGTTTAACACAAGCTTCTGCTGAGAAATCTAACAGATCCTGTGGCTGTTGTGATAACGTCATCTTGTCAGAATGTTCATTGGATTTAACAAAATCATCGGCTCCCATCAATGGAACTGCTGAATCAATCAACGTGACAGATGGGTTTAACTTTCCATCTTCAAATTGAGTGTCACTTTTGCCATCCATGGCAGAATCAAGCTTGGAAGCTGCAAGAAACGATAAATCGGAGATGGTTTGGCTTGTTGGTGTAACGTGACCAATATCAGTAACAATTCCTGCTTCCTGACTTGGAAGTCTGTCCATCTTGTTCTGAGATCCTTGCCCTTGTAATTCTTTCACGGGTGACGATTCGGGCTCTAAATGCTCAAAATCGTCAATCGACTCGTTATCCCTACGCATTCCTATTGTTTCAGATGGTTGGGAGGCTCCAACATTGCTCACTTGCTCTTTAAAATCTTCACTTTGTAACTTCGTAGGTTCCATGTTGGGAACTTAAATGCACCAACGGTCTATCACAAATAATTTCACAGTGAACACACTTTTATGCCGTATCGGGCTAAAATGGTCGTCAAAAACGTCTGCCGTGTGCTGAATCTGTCAAATACCACTAGCAAACACCGGTAAAATCACGCACTCCCTCTGTCAGGATGAGTCACAAGGAGGGGCAGAAGACAATGTCAAAACAATGACTCCAGTGTGGATATTGTCAGATTACTATAATAACATTAATTGTTGTATTTCATTTAATATATTACAATTATTAAAGAAGAATCTGATTTTCCTGAAGATACATGTGTTTTTATTTGCAGTACCGAACCTGAGTTCGCGCTTGCGCTTTCAGTCTTCCTCCTCGGATATGACTCCCAATCCGCGATTGCGGCGCTCGCGTTACATATTTGCGTCCAACATGGCTGCGAATGGTGCGGTGTGTTCGTCGAAGACGAAGTTACAGGATGGCAGATGCGTTGTGAAAGAAGTGAATGGGGTACGAAACATATTTTCAGAACAAGTAGAATATTCAAAATTGTTGGTATGTATTATGACTTTGAATTGTATTGTAGAAGTCGCATTGAAACAAGTGTAACTTTGCTGCTAGGCTAGTTTACCCCTTCTCCAATGGTTTTATCAGATGACTTACGTGACCCGTTTGTAATGAAGAATCAAATGCCCATTGCCCTCATTATAAAAAAAATTGCCTGTACTGGTCTTTCATGCCACACAGCATAGATACTGTTTCTTCGTGTTGGCATAGCACGAGCCATGTAACTTATATGAAAGGGCGTGGTAAGCTGGCCTGAAAGAGTAATTTTAGTTCCACCTTGGCCTTTTAAGCAACTTTCACTACCACGTGTAGCACGTCCGAATCTAGTACCTATCTTCCTACTTACATCAACGTAAAGAACACGTGATGCAGTTAATGAAGATGATGGTATAGAGTTATGTTTCACTTGTTACAGTTTGCAGTAAATTATTCAAAGGAGGATCATTGTGCTACTTTTTGACGTAAATACGTCTATATTTTAGGGTCAGTGTCATTCAGCAAAAAGTGGAACGAAAAAGTGTAACTGCATTGTTATGTTACCATGGAAACGCATTGTTGTTACCTAGGAAACGTCATCTGTTTACTTAGCATTGTTATTACCTATAAAACATTACCTTACCTTACATTACATTCAGCTACCACAGACCCATTTTAAGCGTAACTAATTGAAGTTGAATAATCAATGTCTTAATTAATATATAATAACCAATATATAAACTTCCTTTCCGTATAGATGTATTTACGTCAAATTCTCCGGAACAGTGGTTCCACCATCACTTTTGTTTTTATATTGTTATGACATTAAGGACTGTTGTCGTCCTGTACTAGTCATGTAATTCATTAGCAAATCATATGACATTTTACTTTTATGGTGCCTTCTGCATATGTAAATATAGAGTGTCAAGTTCATCATGAGTCTGGGTCCTGTACAGTGTTATGGCAAGCTTCCTGCATAGTAGAGCTGGAGAAGCTAATCGTTCACTGCCTACTTTTCCGCCTACAGTATGGCCTGCTTTAGTACAAAGAGTCTGACATCCTGCATCTGTTTGGGCTTCACATCTTGAAAAAATCTTTTTAGACACAATCAAGTTGTGTTGGAATAGTGGATTGATGAGTGACTGATTGCACCCAACACTATGGCTTTCAAACCATTTACAGGCACTTGTAAAACAGCATGAGGATTTTCTGATAAACCAGTATCCATTATTTGGACTGTTTACTTACCTGCTTGTTGTAAACGATACTTTGTCAGATAAATCATATAAGTTCTGGACCATGAATATTATTAAATACAAATGTTGATGATAAAAAAAAGCATGCATATTGGTTAATCCAAGAAGTAATTTAATAAGGAAGTGGAAAATAGAATTGCAGAACACAGAATTTGATAAAGTGTATTACTTTAACGTGATAGAAACAACAGATGCTAGGATTTTAATTAATGTTAACAGTGTAATACTTTGGATTCCTCCTTTGTGTTTGGGGGTCCCAGGTTTGAATCTCACTTTAGAGATATGATAGCTGAATGAGACACTGACAGTAATTGTTTTTATTTTTATTCTGACAGTCAAATGCAGGAATAGGACTATAAGAAAGGCAGTGCTTCCACGTCTTCCCAGGCCATCATTTAACTCCATCATTAATTCGATGTATGGTCTGTGCAGTTGACAGAGCACAGTTACATGATTCAAGGAATCCAGATTTCTACACATTACATGCTGAGCTGCAGCACTTACTGTGGTATTATCTATTATTACAGGAGACAAAAGATTCAAATGGTGTGCCTCCAAAGAAGAAACCTGTAAGATCAAAAGAAAGCTTTGAAGAGGTTCCTCTTTATACAGCAGTAATGACATATCTTGGATTTTATCTCCTGATGTTCCTAGGCTATTTTAATCAGTTGTTCTTTACCCCAAAAGTTGCAATGGAGAAGAACAGAGAAGTGAGTATGTACAACTGTCAGTTATGTAGTCTTGTTATCCTAAATGTAAATAAACACATGGGGAGATATTAGCTAATAGAACAGTGAAATATTTAATTTAGGTAAGGTTTTCCTCAATTTTAGATTAGCTAATAGTGAAATATTGAATTTAGGTAAGGTTTTCCTCAATTTTACATTTTTTTTTGTGATACCAGCTATAGTTTCATATATGTTGTCCCAATTTAGTGTTTCTCAGTTTGAAGTATTGGCCCCCATTTAAGGAATGAAATAATGTCCATGCATGGAATCTGGACCCTAGCTCTGTGTTTACATGAACACATTGTACAATTTGTCATCATCACCGAGTTGGAAACTTCAAGAAATAAGTTGAAGTCTTTTCCTCCCTTGCTGATCACTGAAGTAACTTTCTCCCCTGCCACCACCTCATGGTAATGCCAATTGGCCTGATGAGTTACACTTCTATGGAGTTGAAAGGTTTAAAAAACAAGACACCTGCTATATATGCATATATATATATATATACACATACAATTCATGGTACAAAATTCTTGTTCCCCAGTCAGACCTTAAATAGGGGTTTCATTGTAGGTAGTAATATGAGATATATTCATATTATAAGGTCTCCTAATTTTTTTTGTAAATGTGTAAGATGAAAGAGATGGTGTCGGTTATCAAAGTAAAACTCTGAAATGTCTCTGCCAGTTGTTCTTTAAAGTTATTGGAGAAGATTATCACCTCTGTGTCAGAACTGCCTGTGGCCATATCTAAAGAGATAATTTAAGTAAACACTGATGAATATTCAGGGTCAGCAAATCCTGGGTGCCAGAATATTAATTGTTACATGTAGTGTTTTATGCAGTATTATTTTTAAAATTCATGTCTTGCAAATTAGTTATGATTTCAGTATCAGATCATAGCTTCAAATAATGCCAAAATTGGAAGCAGTTCTGTATAAACTACATATTGAATGGGCAGAAAATTGATATGTTGGGATAGTGATTTCAGACTGTTAGAAACTCTCTTATGATGGGTAATTCATAAACACATCATTCCAGACATACTGAAAGATGTAAGACTTGAGGTTCTCACAGCGGTGAGTATGAAGATTTCCGTCTTCTGGGTTGTTGCGCTGTGTAGTCTGGTCGATGTTTACCAACGTTTCGGAGGTCATACTGCCTCCGTCATCAGGGCGATGAGTATGAAGATTTCTGTCTTCTGGGTTGTTGCGCCGTGTAGTCTGGTCGATGTTAACCAACGTTTCAGAGGTCATACTGCCTCCGTCATCAGGGCGATGAATGAAAGATGATCTTTACATGTTTTGATAGCCTGTTGAATTTTATCACATATCACAATTTGATAAATATGACTGCACTTGACAAGAAATCATTCAGAGATAAGTTTTGTCATAGTATGTACTAGCGCTTTGTGGATATGAATTAACTGTTGAAAGCTTGGGATGAGGTTTGTAGGGAATGTAACTGGATTAAACTGTGTGAACTGTCTTTCAGGGTTATGTGCCATTATTTGACAGATTTGAGAGTTTCTACTTGCGCTATGTGTACCGGCGAGTTAGAGATTGTTGGAACCAGCCAATATGCAGTGTTCCAGGTGCAGAAATTGTTCTTAAAGACAGGATTACTAAAGATTATGGATGGACATTTGAGTAAGTAACAAATAGAAAAAACTAATAATATGCATGGTTATGTACAGGTAATAGTTATAGTACACAGTGATTATAAATGATCACTTTTCAAAAATGTATTTTAGAAAATCATAGGAGAGTTTTATGACATAATAAGATTGGAGAGGTGCACTACATACTGGACTACACACAGTGTCCACATTATTTCTATGCATCTTGAATGATCCTAACTTTTAAAACAGATTTGATGAAGACATTTGCAACATCAAGTATAAGTATTAGACATTTCAGATGATAACTTCCCCCCCCCCCCCCTTCTTCTTCTTCTTATACATTTGTTTGCTGGAAACTAATTCCACAGTTTCAAAGCAGAGGGCCTTGACTTTGATTCTGTATCACCAACTATTCAATGCATGCAATGTATTGGTTTATGATGTGTTCATATTTCTCTTAACCTTTTAATTTTAAGTAAAGAGTATCCCTAATATAAGAACAGCTGTTTCCAATTCTATAAATCATGTGTCCTTGAAGTCTACTTTAAGTAATGCAAATCTGTAAGCCTCTAATATAATGCAAGTAGTGTATTTGGCTGATGCACATGTGGTCATGTAGTTGAGTCCTTGTTAAGCCACCATGTTGTATAAAGATTACTAAAAGTTATATATATATTTTTAAATATGTATTACCATACATCATTTCTGGACCCTTTATTAGATCGTGCTAGTGTTGCTCCCACCACACAAGTCTGTGAGTCCATCATGTTGGTATTTCTTCTAGTAGGAAATTGAAAAGTATGAATTTGGGCCAATCTCCAGAGGTATAACTTCCATACCAAATTCTATGAAAATACACATCCAGCAGTTATCGAGTTGAAACAGACGGACAGACATCATCAACATGCACATTATGCAAAGACCGTATAGAAACCAACATCGAAGTGTTTATTGTCGTGTAAAGGTTCTGAATATGAGAATCGCTGACAATTTAAGTATATATCTGCCCCTCTGGAGATGAGAAATAATAATAAGAAAACATGGATGGCTGGGAAGCAGATGGTATGATGGACCTTAAGGTAAATAAGTATATTATGAACGTGATTAGTGGGTGGAACTGTCTGAGAATTGTGTCCAGTGGCAGGTTTTGTTATTACAGTTAGCAGTGTTGAGCCTTTTGGGTGGAATTATTGGGGAACTATTTAATAATTTTAGGTTTCTAGTGAGGAAGTTGAAAGGCAGAATATTCTGAACTGACTAGAACCGTGCGTTTCCTGGATTTGATCTGTTTGCATGTTTATTATTTACGCAGAGCATCTACTTTCTAATTTTATGTTTATTATTCACACAAAGCATCTGAGTCTGGACAATCATTTTCTTGTGAGCATTTGTTATATCCTGCTGGATGTATTTCTTTAGGCACGGCTCTCCGGTAGAATTCTCGATTTCAACGGCAGTGACAAGGAAAGTCGAGCCCACACTGTGGTATGTCTTTGTCTTAGCCATAGTGTCTTGAGTGCTGTTAAGTGATGAAGTGAACACAGATCACTGGCAAAAATACTTCTTTCTCAGCACAGAGCACAAAGTGGCAACATTGTCTTTCATCTAAGGTAGACAATTACTTCTTGGTGTGGAAATGTGTTATGTCTGTTTTACTTCTGCTGTCATGCTTTTAGAAGGGCAAGTCTTGTAGTACTGCAGTTGCAGTTGAAGAGTGTGAATATTATATCTAGTAATTCCTAAAAAAATATCCCGCATACCGTAAATATTATAATTATAGTCCGCACTACATAAAGTTTATGTGCTAGTACCTAGCCACAATTCAAATCAGTCCTAGTATTTAAGCCCTGGAATTTACTGCTGTACATGAAAATTTTGACATTTGTGATTAATCAATTTTCAGAATCCAGTTATTTTGTCAACACGTAACATTGTATCAAAAATAATTTATTGCATGTAGGCCTGAAGATGGTGATCTGAATTTTCCAGAACACGTAGCCTTAACAAGTTTTGTCATTTTATAGTTGTGTGTGATGGACTAATAAAATAATTGGAGGATTAATATGCCCATTTATTGATGACTATTTGCAACATTGATGTGTCCATTGACTACTGCCTGTTCATTTGGAATGTTTGGTGTATTAAGAATTGTTGTGCTTAGATTGTGTGCTCTTATGCAGGTACACAGGAACTTTCACCAAATGTCTGAATCTTGGTTCATACAATTACCTGGGTTTTGCTGAAGCAGATGGGCCTTGTGCAGATGCAGCAGCTGAAGCAATCGAGATGTATGGTTGTGCTATGTGCAGCACTGTTCAAGAACTTGGTGAGTCAGAACTACAAACATTATTTGAGGACTGCTGGGTTAGAATTGATTAGGATGCGTTTAAGAAAGCTATCATGCTGTTATCCAGCTGTAGTCTTCGTAGCATAAGGGAATATGTAATCTTACTTTTGAATAAGTTTGTAAAATGCCTACAAGTTTGATATCATATGATATACTAGTAACTGTAAAGGTACAATTTGGCTGCACGCGACAGAGACAAGCGACCGAGGCAGGTTACAGAGTTACAAGACCGAGACTGGTCGCTTCCTGTCTGCTCTCTGTACAATCGTATGAAGTACAATTACGAGCGCGAGACGAAGACAGGCGACAGAGACAAGGCACAGGAGACCGCTCTCGGACCAGTAGTGTCTCGCGACGGGCTCAGGCACCACGTGCGTTTTTGAGTAAAATAATGGCAGAAATTAAATTTACCGGTGACCAAGATGAGCAATTGGTAGAATTAGTAGCAGAAAATGATAAATGTTTCTTTATTAACAGACAGAAAGATCCTTCTTCACGTCTGGTTTTGAATATTGAACTCATAGGTTTTCTTTGTTTCTTTCGCAACAAATAACACAGCAACACATCATCTTCTTCTTCTTCTTCTATTAACCTCTACAGATTAGAGTTCTTGTGATATAATCACTTTAGTCAACAACTTGCATGCCTTTTATGGAATGTTTATTACCATGTTCATAAGACCCTGGATCATTTGATAAATTTTAATATCATCTTGTCTGCTCCTAGAACTCTCAAGTGGTCACTTCCCTTCCGATTTTCTCTCTAAAATTTTGTACGAATTTTTTATCCCCTCATGCATGCAACATGCCAAACCTATTTTCTTCTTCTTGATTTTGTTGCTGTAATAATGTGAGGTGTATCAGTTATGAAGCTTTTCATGCAGTTGACTCCTTCCCATTACTTCCTCGAGTATTCTTCTCGTATCCTGATCCTGATCCTGATCTCAGCTATCCCGGTGGTGACATGCTAGTTTCGCCCTATATTAGTAATTGAGTTATATAGTTTTGTATGTTTAATGTTTTATGACGCTACGGTGGTCTAGCGGTTAGAACGCTGGCCTTGTAATCCTGGGGTCTCGGGTTCGATTCCCGGCGGTGCCCGAATTTATAACTTGTGTTGGGCAAGGCCGTGGTCTAGGCAACACGGAGTTTTCCTCCGGGGGCTTCCCCGGTTTCTCAGTGGCATCCCAACAATTACTCCATTCACACACAGAAGAAGGCAATGGCAAACCACTTCTGGATCATCTGCCAAGAACGTATATGAACAGGTCCCAGTCCGAGAAAAGGATGGAAGGATCCTGTTCATATGGACCTGTCGTCTGACAGAACACTAAATAAATAAATAAATGTTTTATGCTTTGGAGGGGCAACACTTAGATGTATTTAACCTGTCATTCTGTCTCCCAACTTATTTTCTGATAATTGAGGTTATGCTTCAGCTTATAATTTCTGCTCATCTATAGAATGACAATTTGAGGCATGTTTTTATTGCAGGGACACATCCATTGGTGGTGGAGCTGGAGAGAACAACAGCAAAATTTCTTGGCACCGAAGATGCCATTGTATTTGGGATGGGGTTTGCTACAAATTCTTTGAACCTGCCAAGTCTAGTCTCTCCAGGCTGCCTTGTTTTAAGTGATGAGAAGAACCATGCGTCGCTTATACTTGGTTTGCGACTTTCTGGAGCCACCATAAAAGTTTTCAGGCACAACAGTACGTATATGTTAACAATTGATAGAGTTACTTATCAAGTAGATTGATGTAGAAGTAACGCTGAAGGTAGTACCTGATTCAAATTATGGCCAGACTGCTTCCTATTCTGAGTAAGGTATATTTTGGTTCTCCTCAGTTTCCTTAGGCAAATACTGAGAAAATCCAAGACGTCTTGCTTTTGAATTCTTTAACTGCTCTCCAGTCATGTTTAACTTCCCATCTCATTCAGTGCTGGTCTCACAAATAATGGGGGAAGATTCTGAAAATAAATGTATACTGATGTGTTGAATGTGGGTGCTTTTTAATTTCATACACACAAAAAAAATTTTTGACATCTTTAACATTCCTAGGAACATTGCTGGAAAACATTTTCGAAAAGTTCTCTCAGTAGCCTATTCTTGTCACATTGCTCTCTTCAGTTGGTCCTTCCAAGGACAGTTTTAATTTTGTGAACATGGAAATGTCAAAAGATGCATATTAGATTAATACAGTGGATATTCCAAGATGGTATATATGCTTTAGCCACAAGTTTGGTGTGGGAAGATGAATTTTTGTGATGCAAAATTGATTTGTCTGTCCAAAGATTGGTCTTTTTTTTAGTGAAAACACTGCTGTAAACATTTCATAACTTCAGAGTGGATTCCTGAGGAAGGATGAGGTAGCAGTTCATAATGGCGAATTCTTTTTTATCAGAATAAAACAATGTTTTGACTTTCAGTTCAACATCATACTTTTACTGATACCAGAGACTAAACGTTTTCACTGAAGATTTCAATGTTACCATAGGGCAGATTTCGTTACTACCAGTGATCATGGAAATGGTGTTTGGTGGAGGAGACTTACAGCTTAACGTGAACTCCTAGCCATGATGGTTTGATTTGTTTAATGTTTTGAATTGTGATGAATATCCATTGCAGTTAACCTATTAGATAATCATTCAAAATATCACCCTGTTTACAATAAAGTAATTATTTTGTACTGCAGACATGCTGTCTCTTGAGAAACTGCTACGAGACGCTGTGATATACGGACAACCACGCACTCGAAGGCCATGGAAAAAGATTCTTATCGTAGTAGAGGGAGTGTTCAGCATGGAGGGATCCATAGTGCATTTACCTGACATCATAAGACTCAAGAAGAAGTACAAGGTACTGGCCCCACATCACTGTATTTGTGTATTTTATATGTATTCATGGTTTGATTTTCTGGAAAATAGAATGTTGGAAAAGGCAACACATTTTATTCGATCTTTTGTTGTTGGTTGTGCCTTGATTTTCATCACATTTCATAAACATTGAAATGTTTCTATTGGGTCTGTGTGTGCGTGCGTGCGCACGGGTTTTTCATACCCATAAGACCTGTTGAATGAAAGCCAGGATAGCCACTAGATTAATTTAAAATAATGTGTAATACCTTATGTTTAAACTTTCTATAAATGTCGTGGATTTGGGTGTATGCGTTTCAGTAATATCGATAGGATTGAATAAGAGTTTCATAAATCATCTGGTTAAAGATCACCAGTGTTTCAAGGACCATCTCTGTCCTCATATATACCGACCCAGAGCCCGTGTTTGAATCTGATCACAAGCCAGTGGGTTAGTGGACTAGCTAGTGGTTACGCATGTTTAGGAGGAACATTGGTATCTGCCTGCAAGACTACATTATGTCACAACCTAGAAGACCAAAACTTATATCTTCTCCATCGTGACTGTCGAATATTGCATTCAAGAATTGAATTCACTAAATAGGTTTGTAATTACAGGCTTACCTCTACTTAGATGAGGCTCACAGCATTGGAGCTCTGGGTGAAAATGGCAGAGGTGTCCTGGATTATTATGGCTGTGATCCAAATGATGTGGACATTCTCATGGGAACCTTCACCAAAAGCTTTGGCTCAGCAGGAGGATATATAGCTGGATCTAAGGTATGTCAGCAGTTTGGATTGTGAGGTGTACCCTACATGGAAGTGTTTCTTTGTGTACGTGGCAGAGGGGCATTACTCAGTCGATTAAAAGGGTAGCCTGGGTTTGAGTCTGATTGGCTGGCTGTCTTTAGGCTAAACAAAGTAGTATCTACGAGGCGCGTCCACAAAGTAAGTTTCCCACTCGTCCCACAGCTAGCAAACCTTATATTGCGCGAA